GAGAGAGAGAGAGAGAGGCAGGCTTTTTTGTTAAGAAGAATGCCACTATGGTAATGTGTTTCATCGCAGCCAAGTTTTTGTAATTCGATAATCATTCAAGAATGGAAACCTACAGGGTTTCATTTCCTAGTTCTTGTTGTAGGCAACTCTCAACTTTAAATACTATTTTTCACCCAAAAAAGCTTTAAACTTTAAATACTATTTACATTTATGCATGCTTACTAACCAAAAGTGTGCTCTAAACTATGTAATTTAACTTATGATATCAAAGTTTTCATAAACTATAGTTACAATCTCCATTTCTACCTTCACAATTTTGGAATAACTATCACTAAGAGTACGCACTATATATAATATGGGCCTCCTCTTAGTTGGTATTGAACTATACAATAGACTGTTATTGGTGGTACACTGTACAGAGGCAGTCACAATAGTCTAGTAAAAAAAAAAAAACCTATAGTCTACTACAGAAATTATTGCTAGGAATGCTACTTCATTGGAGTCAATACTCCCCACGGAAGCTTTCAATCTCGAATCCAAAATCTTATTTTCGAATTGGACTTTTGCTAACAATGAAAAGACGTCTCTTTTATGGAAAGCTATAATGATTTTTCTTTACAATAACAATGAAAAGACATGTCACTCCTAAGAAAGGTCACAATGAATACTCAAATTTCAATTTTCATTAAGACAATGAGAGGAAAACGGAAATTGGATTTACTACAAGCTAATAATATCTTCACATTGGTGAGAACATACATTATCAATGGTTAGAGATTCAAATCACTCCACAGGAGTGCATTCATTTTACTTGCCCATGGTTTTAGCTTTCAACTGTGTAACTTAGCTATTATCTTCTTAAACATGGTGAAGTAAATGTACCTAAATAATACTGAAAATGATGTACAATAACTGTTTTATCATCATGCCTTGGGTGATAAACTCAAATTTAAGAACTTAGGGGATAAAGTCAAATTTAAGAGCCAAAAGTTCTCATTAGCTGTAAAGCGACTGTATACTATGAATATGTGGACACCAGTACATGTAGGGACCGGAGAATCGTAACCGTTTGTTTCCCGAACCGGCCGACACTGACCTGCCATGCATGTTACCTTAAATTGGCTATCGGCACGTGGAACACGGGAACGTTTTCGATACAAGGTATTCGAAAACAGACACCTTTCTTTTTTTTTCTCTCCTTTTTTTTTTTTTGCAAAGCTAGTGGGGTCTGTACATGAACCACACCTGTTGAATTAACCTCGTAGGATATGTACATTAAGCCCAAGACTACAATTATGGTTCATATAAATCATGGAGTACAAATTTTGTGTAGTCATGATATGTGATCGATGTAGCTAGCTGATCAAATTCGGCATCCCATCAAAAATTATTTTTTTTTCAAATTTTATAACTATATAAAGGGCCATATATTGGTTTCAAAAGTTTTAAAGTGAAAGGTTTATACGCTAGAAATCCAGTTAAGATTGTTATCTTTCAAAACATCATCTGAAAAAAATCCATTACAAATCCATTAGGTTTAAAATTAATGAGTAATCAGTAATTAAAAAAAATCACACTCGTTGCATCCATTATATTACATAAAATCACTCACAATCCATTATACTCCCTAGGGATCACCCACTATCTATCTAGCTGCTGTATTATTTGTCTCTCACACACTTATTTGGTGATTTTAGAAACCTCTACTCTTAAAATTTTTTTTTACGGTATGTTGCCCTTATATTAATTGAAATTGCCCATATCTTTTCTTTTTTATTAAATCAGTCGAGGGCGTTGAGTGTGAGGGCATTGAGTGTGTAACTAGATGCTCCAAATTTTCAAATTTCAAAATTTTGAATTTTTGTTTTACATATCGCATATCCTCAAATTTTGAGACCTAAAAGAATATGGAAAAAAAGAAAAGAAATTCAAACATAGATATAATCAAAATGCCCCTGCAAATATTTCATGGTTATGTTGCTTATTTTGTATAATATGTTTTTAATATATTATTCGCATGTGATGGTGAGATGTACACACTCAAAAATTTAAACGAATCAAATTTATAGTAAAATTGTCCAACGGAATAGTTTTGAAATTTGAAAAATTGCAACTGTTCAAACTGAATAGGAATATATGCAATAACACAATTTACTTTTGATACAAGGATGTTGTTAGATTTGAGATGGTGCTTGAGGGTGTGTTATTGTTTGGACACAAAATCTTAAATAAAATTTCTTGAATGTTGTGATACAATTTCATCGGTTGAATTTCACATCTAATGGTCAAAAGTGAATGTGACCTCCTCATACAAAAAATGAATGGTATCATGGTATGCAATCCCAATATCCACTAATTTAATGGCAAGGAAAGATCAAGGTTGTTCTACTTAATATATGGGATTGTATACAATGAGAATATTTACCTTTAGTAGAAGGAGGTCACAATTACTTACAACCATCCGATGTGAAGTCTGATAGCTTGGGTATATCATAAAGTTCAAAAATATTTCTATTGGGCTTTGATTTTAGTCAATGGAATTAATGCAGCCACCGAACTACACATCCAATAGCTAAATTAAATTGTGACTACCTTATACCAAAAGTAAATAGTCTCATTGTATATTTTTCCTTAATATAAAAACCACCAATTGTAAAAACTTTTGTAGCAGTACCTTCTAAAATCACCATTTGTATGATGCGTTTAAAATCTTCTATATATATATATATATATATATATGGGCAAACTTTCTATGCTTCTCGTACAACATAAAAGAGATATAGTTTCTCTTTTCCAACTGTCCATTATAAATAGACGGTTGAGGTGGTCCCAATCACAATGTGACGTCTCTACATTGTTTTATTTTTAACTTTTTGTTAGGAAATATTTTGACGCCAAATTTTTGGTTCCACTCCTCTCTTAAACTCACACTTGTGAAAAATATAAAAAAATATTCCTCAATAAAATAAAATAACCAAAATACTCCTAAAATTTTAAGGGTATTTTGATCATTATATATTAACAAAATTTTATTTTTAATATATTTTTTTGGTGTGCCCTGCTGAGAAGATAGCACGTACCAAATTCTATATTCATTCAATTTGTAGAAAAAAAAAAAAAAAACTTTGAAACGTCAGATATAGATCAAACGGTAAACGGCTCACTTGATCTAAATTGAAAGTCTCGATGGGGGGAAGGAGTATATATATTGTATGTTGCAGTGGAAACGTAGAAACCTTTCCCCTGTATATATGCCTCACCTCAAAGAATTCATTTTATTGGAGCCCACAAGTTACCCTAGTGATGGGGGAATGGATCGTGAGCAGTGACGGTACCTTCATCCAACAGAGTTTCTATAAATTCATGTATGCATCTCCATTTGGGCCAATTATTGCAAATAGGGAAATATGACTAGTTAAAGAAAGTGGAGGGAGGATCATACAGGGAGAGAGAGAGAGAGAGAGAGA